GGAATATGAAGGGACTTTTATGGAACCCTTTGGGCATACACATTTACTGTTGACCCTTAAAGATGAATGCAAACTTGTAATGATCTTCTTTCCTCACACTATGGGCCAGATCCTGTTGGTAGATATCCAATACCTTTGCATCCCTGTGTATAGCTGCTGTTAGATCAGCCACTGCTGTTACAGTGGGCACAGGCTCAGATGTTCATACTCCGCTGTCAATAGTTCAGTCATTTAGCAGAACCCATCGAGTGAATTTACATTTGCAGAAGGGTGCAGCACACTCTGTTCTACCAATGATTTTACTCCAGTCTAAGTCCTTCTCTGATTCCTTTGGGTTGGCTGTCTTTGAGGTTTGAAATTAGCTTCTCCATCCATCTGCACTTCCCAGTCCTGTTTGCATTTGGTTCAATTCCAGTACCTTGGTCAAAGGTTCCTATAGGTCATATGATTTTATAGCAGTTGTGCGTTCTGCCTCCCAATGTGAGTGGTCGCTAGGATCCCTAATTCGTCCATCACTGCTTCCTTGGGATAGCCATCAGCCAGGTTCACTGCCATGCAGTGAGCAGGCAGCCAATCTACGTCCAACACCTCCCTTGTTTAGGTCTCCCCACTAATAGATTTTCCCGTTTAGTCTTGAGAGATCTCGATGGTTTTGAGATGCCTCAAATTGCCTGTAAAGCATTCTGACTGATAGAACCTACTAGAGAAAGGTGTCCCCAGTGGTTTAGATTTATTGAGATTGATCTGTTATCCTCCAGATACCTTCCCTGATTTTCTTCCTACATAGGTCTATACATGGTTTCCTCACTCAGTATATACCCTTGGGCATGACTATTCAGGACAGACTCGACCTTTTCGTGGTGAGGCTGACCGGTTAGAGATATGGATGTTGTTTCTGCTCTGGAAGTGCATCTTTCCCTGTCTGCACCCTGAGTTTTTGCCATTTCATGGCATTAATCCCCCTACTTCATTATGACCCTTTTCACGTCCCAGCTACCTCATTCCCTGGTGTTTTCTGCAAGCTCTGCAATCCGTCTTAGTGTCCCACCTTTCCACAATTGTGGCATTCTCTTCTGTTTCCTGTCACTCCTTAAGAGGTGCAAGTTTCCCTATGCTTGCCGATTTTCTTCTTCTGGCCCCCACGTAGTTTGTCAGCTTGTCTTGTCCTGATCTAGCTAGCATGACCTGTTGGGGCACAGTTCCTTGTATCCCGCTCAGTGCTTGCTATCCAGGTGATCAGCTGTGGACATGCTGAACCTGCTTTCTCGAGGTTCAACATTTGGCTAGCTGTCAGAGGCCAAACCTGTCTTTTAAGTTGTTTTTATTGTCTCTCATAGATTGTTCTAAGTTCACTACTTCTTGGAATTAACATAATGTCATCCTTGTCGCATTCTCTTTTTCTAAGTGCTATATGGTGCTTTTGTTACAAATTTAACTATTTTAATCTTTATTAATTTACTACTTATTCTTACCTAAAGCACCTTTTTTCCAGCTTTTGGCCTGCTCAGTTCCTTTGACAATAGCACAATTACATCACATTAATCATGTTACCGGCTTGGAATCCGGTTAGGCAGACCTTTAGGATATGAGATCACTCATACCTGTCCTTTAGAAGTTAGTAGGTTGAGTTGAACTCCACATTAAATTCAGCATGTTACATCGGTCAGTTGTGATCCATAAATTTACAGCTATCTGACCCACAATGTCTATTTCATTTCAAGAAAGGGCTATGTCACCTAATCCCACTTTTAGTGCATTTGGTCTGTAGCACTGTAGGTTACTGTACTTCCAAATATTTTTTAAAATACCATGGTGTTTTCCTGTCCTAGTTCCCTTCTGGTTGGTGAGTTACAAATGCCCATCTCACACTGTTTTTACACTCCCAACATCTCTAGCTGGAATCCTTCTGTCAATTACTTTAACTTTATGCCCTGGCTAATGATTTCTGCTAAGTGAAATGAATCCTTCCTATTTGCTCTCTCTTGGCCTAATAATTTTATACATTTACCATCACTTCTCCGCCTCCTCTGGTCCAAAAAATATCAACCCAAGCCTATGTACTATTTCTTCATAGCTGAAACTCTTAATCCCGGGCAATATCTTCGAAAATCTCCTTTTGTATCCTCTCTACCATGATGATATCTTTCCTTTCATGTAGTGACAAGAACTGTACATGGTGCTCTAATTAACCCTAGTCTAATTAGTGTTTTGTGCAATTCTAGCATAATCTAATAGAAGAATATATCCTGTTTTAGCTTAACCAATGCATGATCTGGCCAAGGCTGGAGGAATGCATTGTTGCTTTTGTCTCCGTTCTCGATAGGTTGCAACATTTAAAAATGTTTTTCCAGTTGGCGAATTTAATACCTTATCAATAACAAAAGACTAGCTTTCTTTAATAAACAATTAAAATAAAACTTATTCAGTGAAGGTGCAATATTTGCTTAACACACATCCAGTAATATATAAATGCTTATCCCTCTAAATATCTCCAGTACATGCATGTAAGCACATACACTTTTTCTCAACAGCAAAGAGAAAATAAAATACATTTTTCTGGTCTGGTACAAAATGAGGAAAAATGCTTTAGACTCCATGACCATATAGAAAAGCTGGTAAGATGGGCAGAACAGTAGCAATGAAATTTAAGCCTGAAAAGTGTGACTGATGCATTTTGGGAGGACCAACAAAGCAAGGGAGTGCATGATAAATGGTAGGAACCTGGGTAGAACTGAGGATCAGCAGACCCTTGTTTTGCATAAACATAGATCCTTGAAGGCAACAGTGCAGGTAGGATAGGATGCTTAAGGTGCGTGGTTATGATGGTGCTGGAGAGGATGATAGACCACGGTGGGAATACTCTGTGTGGTCATAGTCACCACATTGTAAGAAGAATGTGATTGCATTAGAGAGGGTGAGAGAAAGTTCATTAGGATGTTGCCTGGGGCTGGAGTGCTTCAACTTTGAAAAGAGACTACATGGGTTAGGGTTATTTTCCTTGCAGCAGAGAAGGTCAAGGGGAGACACCAGATTGAGGTCTGCAGAATTGAGGGGTTTAGATTGGGTCAATAGGAAAAGGGGTCAGTTACAGCCGCTATAGCTTTAAGGTAAGGGGCAGAAGGTTTAGAGGGTATTTAAGGAGAATCTCTCTTCATCCAGAGAGTAGTAGGAATTTGGAACTGACTGCCTGAAAGAGGTAGAGGCAGGAAACATTACAACATTTAAATAGTATTTAGAGGAGCACTTGAAAAGCTGTTGTGTTCAAGGCTAAGTGCCTGGAAACAGGACCTGAGTAGATATACTTGATTGATGGACATGTTAGGATGAAGGGTTTTTTTCTGTGCTGTAGTACTCTATATGACTCTGAGAACATACCTAAATAATTATCTACATTGTACAGTAATTGAGGTGATCTATATTATATTGCTGTCTACTTCCAAAGCAGATCAGGTCGGACTTCATTCTCACTAGTGAGTTTTGTCATGAAGTTTTAAGTTTGTGTCATCTCTTCTATAATGTTTGTATATAGATTTAAAAAAACAAAATCACTCAAGTTTTTATCTAATCAGCAGAATTTTAAAAAATGCAGACTTTTGTTTATTTCAAGTAGATGTAAAAATCTTAGTGGTTTAATGCTTACCACTGTTTGGACATCATTTGCACTAATTTCTTTTGAGTACCATTATATAAAAAAAATTACACTGTCCACTTCTCAACATCTGTTCTACCTACAAAAGAAGTGATTTTTAAATACAAGAGATTTGGTAGAAAGCTCAGAAAATAACAGGTTAATAAAATATTTAAAGAAGTTACTACAATCTGGCCTATTTTCTAAACCTGCAGTATGTCCCAGGAGCTTTGTGGTTCAGATGGCAAAATCTTAAGCTTTAAAGGAGGTCAATTCTAGCACACCTGTTGCTCTCTGTGATGAGAGTGTGCGACGGTTAAATCAACCACCATGTCTTCACAGAATTTTGTTGTTGGATATTGCGCAGCACAAGACTTATTAAACTTGTAACGGGTTACCTAAAACGTGTTGAAACCAAGAATGATGAAAATTGTGACATTGGGCTTCAAACTAGAGTACTACTTCTGATTCACCATGCAGTTAGTTTCTGTGTACGTACCCTGATAATCAAATGACAAGATGCCTTCCCATAGAATAAGGGAAATTAGGGAGAGTAACAAATTGTTTCCAAACCTACTGCATAGATATCTATGACTGGAAACACTTTTTTTACTTTGTTACCCCTAAGATGGGGGAAAGAATTAGAAGAGTAAACCCATGATGGTATCTAACACTGAAATCTGCTAGGATTTCCCTAATACGAGCCAGTGTTATTACTTGTGTGTTATTATTTTCTGCAAACTCGTCTTTAGTTTGGATGAATGTCTGTTCTTCGGACAATAGATATAAACTCTAAGTAATGGAACACTTGGCAGCAGCATCGATATCAAACATTACTAAGTATAGTAAAGACCAGCTGAGAGTTGAAGCTGCTCTGTGTGACATCAGTGATGCATTTTGGCTATCACCTCAGAAAAGCTAGAATGTGAATTATTCCTTCCATCCATTTATTAGTAATCATAGTTCACAAGGGACCGTAAGCATATGTCTCTAATCATTGTCATTTTGTTTGCTGTCATTCGTTCCTCTGTCCAGTTTCTGATGTTATGCAGCCACCCAGCCCTTTTCATCTTGGCATATTCTTTTCTGATATTTCATTTTCTATTATTAATCACACCAGTCTCTTCCTCCGTTCTCCAGTTGTCAATTTCTCAGGTGTAAATACGTATCCCTCCAATTATCCACAATATACACATGCAAACATGATACATTCACGCATTAGGGAAATTTAAAAAGTGCATTTCTCCGTAATTAAATGCAATTTGCAATTGGTTAAAATGATATTTTCTATTTCAAGAAAACCAGTGGGTTATTCTTGGAAGCAGAAAGGTGAGTGCAAGGTTTTCCAAGGTATTTTGATGTTCTGGCATATGTGACCAAGCCACTAATCACACATGATTCTCTGAAGTCTTGCACAGGATATACAATCTTGATGTTATTTTAAATGCTCTTTCAAAAGACCAAGTAGTTTTCATTGAACCGATTGTAAGGGGTTTTGGAAAGTGAGAGACATTGCTAACAGCAAGCTGACCAACCAGGCTTCCCTCCAACTCGGCTTGTTCTTAGCACTTTATCAGATGCCTTCTGACAGCTCAAGTACGCCACATCAACCACGGCTGTTGGGAATACGTAATACTAGAAGATTTTGGACTATTTGGCCACTCTGGATAGAGAGGGGTTGACTTATAGATTCCCTGCGGTGTGAAAACAGGCCATTCGACCCAACAGGTCCACACCAACCCTCCGAAGAGCGTCCCACCCAGACTTGGCCCCCTACCCTATCCCTGCATTTACCTTGTCCAACCCACCTAACCTAAACATCCCTGGGCACTGTGGGCAATTTAGTATGACTAATCCACCTAACCTGCACCTCTTTGGACTGTTGGAGGAAACTGGAGTACCCGGAGGAAACCCACGCAGACACTGGGAGAGTGTGCAAACTCCGCACGGTCACCCATGGCTGGAATTGAACCCAGGTCCCTGGCACTGAGGTAGCAGTGCTAACCACTGAGCCACCGTGCTGCCCCATTGGTTGTATCATTGCTTTCCTGGAAATGAATCCAATAATTTGTGTGCTATGAGGCACCTTCAGTTTTTAATAGAAAACCAGCTCCTTTGGAGAAATTGAGAAGCAAAGTTCAAGGAGATAGGGAATGGGCATTATTGCTTTAATGAGTGGGAAAACCTAGCTTTGAAAGGATTATAGGCCCCTACTCTAATGGTTATCTAGCAATTTGGCTAAGTTTTTACTGCATCTGATCTATTCTTACCCCACTGATCTGCTTCCAGTTAGTTATTTTTACTCCAGATTGCTCTTGCTCCTTTTGCATTCCTACCCTAAACTATTCCCTTAATTGAAACAATTGTCTTGTCCCAATTCCTTGTTAATTTTGTCTTGATGTTATGCTTTCTAAAAGCTTTCTCAGCAGAGTCTAAACTGACTGATCTATAGTTGCTAGGTTATCATTACACATTCTTTGAACACAGGTGTAACATTTGCAATTCTCCAGTCCACTTGGAAGTTTGGAGGATTATAGCAAGTGCCTCTGCAATTTCTACCCCTTTAAGTTTCCCTGGATGCAATCAATCTGATCCTGATGACTTAGTGACTTCAAGTACAACTAGCCTATTAATACCTCCTCTTAAATCTGTTTTAGCCCAGTGTTTCAAATATTTCACCGATTTCAAGGGAATGAATTGGGACAAGTGAATTAAATGTCAATAAGGGAAAGTTTGGATGGTTTTTTTTTTGTACCATAAAGTTTAGGTCAGCTACGGAAAAGGTCCGGGAGCAATTTGGAATCAAAGTCTAACTATTTAGAGGAGGGTAAAATTTGAGGAAGACAGTTTGAAAGTATTATGAGCTTTTAAAATATTGGCTTTAAGAGGACATAAGCTGGTAGAATAAGAAAATTGAGCAAGATGATAAATTCAACACAGTGATTTGTTTTGGTAGGAAAATTGAGGAAATTCCATATTAAGTAAAATGTAAAACACTGAAGTTTGTGCAGAAGAGTAAAGACCTTGGGCTCAATGTGCATAAATTTATTGGTTAGTAGGGCAGCTTGAGAAAGCAGTTAAGACGACAAACTGGATCCTGGGCTGTATAAATGGAGGCATAGAATGCAAAAGTAGTGGTGTTGTAGTGAATATCAACAAAACTCTGACCTCAAATGAAGTATTGTCCGATTCCAGACACATACTTGAAGAATGTGAAGACATTAGAAAGATGGTGCAGAACAGATTTATCAAAATTGTTCTGTAATGAGCAACTACAGTTACAGGTAGTTCTCCTGTAACATGATAGTTGTGTGCTTGTGTGACCTTCAGCTGTGGAAAATCGCACTACCTGTACAGCAAAGTTTGTGCTAACAAGACACTTGTTATAGCGGAACTATCTGGTATGTGCATAGATTAATGAAGTTAGGATGTTCCCTTTCACAGAAGGTTGGATAGAGGTCTCCAAACACCCTCAGGGTTTAACCAATAGATGGGGATAAACTGTCCTTTCCTACACAAGGACTGATGACCAAAAGAGACAAATTTAAGGTGATAGCCGAAAGATCTGTTGGTTGCAAAAGGAAACCTTTCTAATTCACCAAGTGGTTAAGATGTAATATTAATTTCCTGAGTATGGAGTGATGGCAGATTTGTATTAGTTATCTTGTTTATAAGTTTGTTTTGGATTGTCATGAAATTTTTTTTAAAGAATGGGCATTATGTGACCTGTTCTGAACAATGCCTGACAGTAAATTTTTGGCTCAATTGTTGGAGATAAAAGGAAGTCTTGGATTGTTTTATTGGGAAGATGAAAAGTATTTATGCTTGGAGAAAATGGCAGCTGTCTTTGTTCGTAGTGGGTTAACTCCAAGTCTCTCCAAGTCTCCCAAAGTCCCAGAAAGATGTTCTGAGCATCTGGTTGCCAACAGTTCTGTTTTTTAAAAAAACTGTCCATTAACACGCAAAATGAAATGGAGTTGAAATCAAGAATATTTAATCAGCACTTCTATCAGGAGCAAGGTTTAAGGTGTTTTGTTTAGTACTAAATAAAAATTCTGAGGCAGGGTCACTGGACCTGAAACGTTGACTCTGTTTCTTCCTTCACCGATGCTGCCAGACTTGCTGAGCTTTTCCAGCAACTTTGTTTTTGTTCCACAGTTCTTTCAGTTTTTATTAAGGTGTTTTGTGTTGCCATTGGGAAGAGTGCAGAGAAGCCATTTTTGAGATGAGGTTACAGCTTCCCCACAAATACAATGAATAACACTGGGCAGGATTACTGCGTGGTCAGCCAAGAGAAGACCTTTTGTTAGTCTCTCTTTCCTATCCAGGTATAATAGCTATCTCGAATCAGAGCTGTATCCTGTAGTCATCATAGTTTTGAATCAACTCATTTGGGCATCTTATTACACACATGCTTCAGGTGGGAATTGAGCCCAGGGCTTCTGGCTCTGAGGTAGGGGCACAGCAACTGCATCATCAGGCCCTTCCTACACATATCTAAAGGTTCTAGGATATTTGTCATAGCTGGGATAAAAGAATCGCCATAACAAACTTTACTGGTGGTTGATGTATCTAGAATCTGTCAGAGAAAACTGAGGAAAGCACCTCAAGCTGATTGCTAAGTTAATAATTAACAAAATGGAGAAAAATGAGCTAGTTGGAAAGTGACTAACTGGATCTCTTGCTGTATGACTGTACTTCTGTGGCAAGTGATGTCTGTCTGATAAATATAAAAGGGGAATTTTCTTTTGTAGGCAACTTCTTTTTAAACAAAAAAGGAAGGATCACTTTTAGTCATTTGTTACAATAAAATGTTTAAATGTGAAATTTTGTCATTCTTTCAGCTAGTAACTGGAGGGTTGAATCTCTCTAAACATTACTGGCCTCTGGCCTCTGTGGAGATTAAAACAAACAGGAAGTGGGCAAATGCCTGAAGAGAATTTACAAAATTCCTGTGAGGAGTTAAAGGGAATGGGACTAGTTGAATACGCTCAGATTCAATAATGACTGGCTAAATGTCGTTCTTCTGTGCTTTGTGTCTTAAAATAACGATCTCTACCAGCAAAGTTCTCTCTTTGTCCTTTCTGTCTGCTTGGCTTCATGGCTTCAACCAAATGCAGCACTAACCCTCCTGCTGGTCTTGCTGTGTATTAGCTAAATGTTCTCTTAAATGCATTTTTAAGAATTGTGGCCCCTTTGCCCTTCACACTGATTTTATACGAGTTAATATGAGGAATATTGGAATTTCCTACAATTATTACCCTATTATATCTGCATTTATCAATTTGCCTAAATATTTGCTTCTGTCTGTTTCTATTTGGGGATTTACTGACACTGGATTGTTCCTTACTCCTGGGCTATGGACAAAAGGCTGCCTATATAAAGTCCCTCGGGTTATATTTGCTTAACAATGGAATTTGTAAGTGAAAAGTCCACATTCTTAGTTTAATCCACAATACTGGTTCAAAGATTCAATGTTTGCATTCCTCGCTCCAAATCAGTTGACTGTAGGCACTTGACATTGAAATGCTGGGATCTAGAATGTCACCGATTTGTTGCCCTTGTTAGTCAGGTTGTCCTGCATCTGTTCACTGTTTTTAAAAAAATCTCCTCTTGTTCTGATTTGAAGACTACCTCTGCCTTCAGTGGTTTCTGACCCAGGACACTGATCGAAGGGTAAAGTTAAAAGAGCAGACCATAGAACTATGTAGGTCTAGACTTCCACAAAGCCATGAGTTAAGCTTTTTGGAAATTGCTTCTATGTTGGGTTGTTAGTCTCGGAGTATAGAATTGAAATGTTAAGAGTAGATTTAAAAATACCCACTGAAGGGCGATGCTCTTAGAGATCCCCTATATGATAATATTTGATTGAACTGTCAAGATAGAAGGGATCATCAGCTTAAAAAAAAATCTTAAGTTGTGCTCACATTGAATTGCTGCAAGTATGCAATGCATTGAAAAAGCACTTTATTTTAATAAAAAGGATTAGATTAATAACCTTCTTATGCACTCTTAAATATTAGGTGGTTCAAGAATTAGGTGTTGTCTTGATAGTATGTTGACATGTACCAATAATTGCAGCATGATTTACAATATTTAAATGTTTTTGCCACAATTCATGAAATTTGTCTATTTTTAAAATTTTACAAGACAATAACTGCTCCTAACTGTTGCATTTTAATGTTTTGAGTACAGAAGAGCGATTTGCCATGTTGACCAGTGCTTTTCAGACCAGTTTTAAAGGTCTACCGTTACTGAAACCGTACTGCTATAGCAAAAGTGAAGGCTGCGTTGTTAAAGGTTCTGATACACTGTGGTACAGAGCAAAAATTTTGGAAGTGATTGGGGGATCCGTTAAGGTAAGATACTTAAGGTATAAGTGTATAACTTATCTAGAATTCTGGAAATGGAAAGTGGTGTACAAAACTCAGTTTAATGTTTGGAGTTGTTTTCTATCTGTGCAACCCTGGATTATACGTTAGCGAAGTGTCAATACTTTGCAGTTGTGATGTGTTCCTAAATAAATGCTGCTAGGGTTTAGTAGGAATTGATCATATAAAAGATTTGAGGAATTTTTCTAATCCAGTCATTTATGTACACAAACAATGTTGCTGGAGAAGCTCAGCAGGTCTGGCAGCATCTGTAAAGGGAAAAACAGAGTTAACATTTCAGGTCCGGTGACCCTTCGTCAGGACGCAGTTTTAATGCTTTTCACCAGAAGCTGTCTTCAGATGCCAAAGCCCTTTCCTTTAGAATTCCCTCCCTAAAGCACACTGTCTCCTTACCCTTTCCTTTTTAAGATCATTAAACCTGCTTTTTTTGCAAAGATTCTGGTCATCTACCCTAATATCCTTATGTGATTTGGTGCTGAATTCTGTTTGATGCTCCTGTAAAACGCTTTTCATTCTTTACTATGTTAAAGATGCTTTATTGGGTTACATTGTGCATGAATATTCATACAATTTCCTCGAGTTCAGAAACTTGCTATGAGTGGCTACCAGCCCATTTTTGAAGAAGGGTCCCGACCCAAAACATCAACTTTCCTGCTCTTCTGGTAAAATACAGGTAATGCCCATGAAAAACTGTCAGAAAACAGTAAATAATGTAATATGTATGTTGTAATGATTTGCATAAAGCTTGCAGATGATTGAAACCCACCAGAACTTAATTTTATATTTAATGGTGTTAAGTTTAGCTTTCCCTGTATACACACGAAATAAATGATTACTAACCTGATTTCCTGAATCCTTTTATCAACTTGTCAAGTTGTCTGCTAACAGCAACTTCTTAAAACAGCTAGAACTCATTAATGCTAAACATTTGGATTCACTGAGTTCCATTTTTACAAACCCAAACCTATGGAATTGGTTAGCCTAAACAGAAAGCTGTGAGCACAGTCTCTACCTTTTTGAAGGTAAATGAATACACTAGTATTTTGAATTAGAAGGCTTACAGGAAGAACTGTGCCCCTATTTTGGCTTATTTGTATATGCATGCTAAGCCAGTTAAATTTCATAACAATGAGGAAGGTTGCACAAAAGACTGACCATTTTGTTCACTTTGGGAGAGTTAATTTTTTAATTTCATGCTATGTAATCAAATATCTCACTGGTTAGCAGCTTAAAAATGATCATACTTAATTATGAGGAATTAATACTTATTTTGGATACTGCAAAAGAATATTTGTGGTATCCAATGCCATTATTAATTGTCAAGTTCTGGTCTTTTTGTTTCTCACATACTCAAAACTCAGTGTACACCTAGTACTTAAATTCTTAAAGCTCATTTGACCTGCTTTATATGATTCACAAGATTCTTAACATTTCGTATACACTATTTGACAAACTTTCAGTTTAACCACTTGAAGATTGAAAAATTGCTTTCTCTTTATAGATTTTACCAGTCCTCATGAATTTTAAAGAGCTGTGCGATTTTCTCAGCTTTGACAATTGATGGGATGAAGGGTAACATTTTGTGTGAAGAGAGATATCAGTTTTTTTTGTAAATTAGAATGCCGTGTTGCCTTTTGTGTTTTAGGTGTCTAAAGATTCCTTGCTTTTTGTATTTACAGAAGGCTAAAATCCATCGCTTGGAGAGAAAATGTAATGAGTTACATACCCACGATTTTAAAGAGTCAAAGCTAATAGCTGTTTTGGGAAGTTGCATGTTTTTGACTCTGGAATGGCACCTAACTTGGGAAACTGGTTTGTGTCATGTGCATACATGGGGAATCTTTCTTTTCTGTATTAGAGTGTGGGGATTCATAGAATCCCTACAGTGTAGAAGCAGGCCATTTAGCCCAACAGGTGTACACCGACTCTCGGAAGTGTCCCACCCAGACCCACCCCTCTACCCAGTCCCTGTAGCCCTGCATATTCCATAGCTAATCCACTTAGCCTGCACGTGTTTGGACTGTGGAAGGAAATTGGAGGACTTGAAGGAAACCCATGCAGACACAGGGAGAATGTGCAAACTCCACACGATAGTCTCCTGAAGCTGGACTTGAACCCCGGGTCCCTGGTGTTGTGAGGCAGCAAGTGCTAACACTGAGCCAACCTGTCACCCGTTTGGTCTTCGTGTTTGTGAGATATTATGTGGTCATTTCATTCACGTCTATGCATAGGTAGCTACTAGGTTGAAAGCCTAGCTTTAAGCAACAAAGAAACAGTTCCCACTTCAGTCCAAGGAACTGGATTTGAAAATGACTTCGAACATTTTGTGGGGAGAATGGCTGGCTTTCCACTAATGCAGCCTGTCCACCTAAAACATACTGCCAGACACTAAAATACCGACTATTGGACATCCTTACTGATCCTTTCAGACTCTTAAACGTGATCCCAAACCCAGGGCATTCTTTTCTCCTTCGTTTTTTTTTCCCAATGCTAGTCTATAGTCCCTCATGCACACCACTTTGTATTTAATGAGTTCTCGATCTGTCTGCATTTAATGTCTGTTGTAAAGTAGTTCTAAGATGTGCTGCTACAGTTCTTGTGGCAATAAAGCTTCATTAATGATAGGTAGGGAATTCCATGTTAATAGGTTCCAAACTGGTTGAGAGTTAGAAAGCAAGACACGCAACTGTTCTTTGCGGAGAGAGCAAATTGCTCAGTCCAAGGCCTCTTGTCAATACCTTGTGTCAGTTGCTACCTTTTTATGTACTCAATTTATATTCAAAGTATTCTGTTAACCTTAACATACCTTTTAACAGTCTAATTGGCCAGACATTAACATTCTAGAAACTTTGGTCTGTCCAAGTCAAGATGGAGTATGACTTGGAGGTGATGATCCCATGAGATTGTAGCTCTCATCCTTTGCATTATTTGAGTGACAGTGGCATAGTGGTGATGTTGCTGGATTAGTAATGCAGCGGCCTGGGCAAATGCCAAGGGGACATGTTCAAATCACGTCATGACAGTTGACAGACTTTCAATTCCAGCTTTATGGATTTTTTTTTTTAAAGCTAGTCTCAGTAATTCCAATCATGAGACCTATCAATGATGCAAAAACCCACCTGCTTCACTAATGTCCTTTTAAGGAAGGAAATCTGCCATCCTTATTGGTCTGGCCTGCATGTAACTCAAGACTTTCAGCAGAATGCTTGACTCTGAAATGACCTGGGAAACTAATCTGTTTAAGAGCAGTTCAGATAGGGCAACATACTAGCCTTGCCAGTGATGCTCACCATTCCATGAAAGAAAAAGTGGGTATTCTATTAAAGTAACATAATTTACTGTATTTTCTGAAGAAGGGTCCTATTAACTTTGACCCAAAACGTCAACTTTACTGCTCCTCTAATGCTGCCTCGCCTGCTGTGTTCCTCCAGCTCCACACTTTGTTATCTCTGACTCTAGCATCTGCAGTTCTTGCTATCTCATAATTTACTGAATGATGCATCCTGTAGGTTTTCTGTTCTGTACTGGTTATGTATGTGATCTGAGACCTGTTGACCAGACAGCTGTCATAAATTGTGTTGCATTTCTTGCAGCTGCAAGAATTTGGGAAGTGGGGAGTATTCCATAACACCACTTCAACTGTGTCGATGGTGGATGGCCTCATTTTAATCTAGTTCAGTCTCTGCCCTACCCTTTATTGATGTAGTGAGAGTCCTGAAGACATTGATTGAGGGGGACTCAGTGGCACCATTGAGTCTAATGAGGCTTTCTTTTGTTTGTATTGGTCAGTGTAATGTTCTATGTTGACTCAAGCTTTGCTATCATCCAATTCTTTATTTAATATGGAATGGGCTGCTTAATTATTGGAATATGAATTGAGTTGATTATTGGAATTATTGTCAAATAGTTCCACTTGCGAGAGGAGGGAAGTTGTGGTTAAACCAACTATAAATGGCTAGCTGAGGGCATTTTTCTGCGACCTTTGGAAGATTTTACTTTGACTGTCATTGATTTTGATTTTGCTATGTCTGCTTAGTGGGTATTATCGTCAAGTGCTGCCTTGCTGTGCAGCAGAGGTTACTCATACCTCTCTCCAGTAGTTCTGGCAGAAACTGCAAAGAGTATTGGTGAATGTTGCTTCCTGGTGCTGTTGATGACTTTAGTGATTGGGAGCATCCTGAGATGATACTCCAGATTAGATTTATCCTGTTTCTACTGGAATTGGATCTATTGGGCAGTTTTTCTTTTTTTTATTGGATAGTTACAATATCCTTTGACAGCCCTTCCTGCTTGCTTCTCCCATAACTGTTTCTGTACTTTCAAACTTCTGTGGCTACTTGTGACATAACCATTTTGCACCACTTTGTCGTCCTCTTCCTGCTTTTCAGTTAATTGTACCTTTTGGTAGTGTATTGTAACTGAATATCCTTCTTTGAAAAGAGTTTGTTATGTTGCAGTAACAATACGTAAACTTCGCGCTGTAAAAATGGTGTGCCTTTTTTTTTGCCCTTCTCTACTTCACATTTCACACCTATTATCTTTCTATGAAATTGTAGCCATCTAATTCTTTGTGCAATATTTCCCAATTTTCAATAGTTGATGCATACAATATTGACTGATTTACCATTTGTCTGTAGTTCAACAAATGTATCTACTCCCATATTTTGTGAACACTTTCTTTTCTAAGATAAAATTCTGGAGAATATAGAAATAACTTGAAATAACTAGGAATGTTTGAATTACAGTATCCAGAGTTTAGTCTTTAATTTTGTGATGAGTATATTAATTTATTCATTATATTGGTGCTAGGTGCAGTACGTTGACCGTGGATATACTGAAACAATTCCTCAATGCCATGTTTATCCAGTGCTAATGTATCCTGATATTCCAGAGCTTTGCCTTCCATTTCAGCTTTTTGGAGTGGAACCTGTAAGTGTTTAATGTTGCAATAGATGTACTGTGTATTTGGATAAAATGGAATTGAGTATAAAAGTTGTATGTTCCTGTAAACCTTGTTTTGTTCCAGAGGAATGATCCTGTTTTTGAAAATATTGGTGCCCAAAAGACTTGCTGCCACAGCTCCATGTTGAGCACTGTTTGGGCAGAAACTGGAACAGAAATTGTGGGAGAAACTCCACAGGTTTGGCAGCATCTTTGAGGGAAAATAGTTAATAATTTTGAGTCCAGTGACCTTTCAGAGATGAGTAGATGGGAAGAGGTAATATTTATGCTAAAACATGGTGAGTGGGGGTGGAAGGAAGTGAGAGAATAGATGGAGAGAGAGAGAGACAGTTTGACAAGGAGATACACTAGGAAGAAAGAAGAAAAAAGCTGATAATGGGGACTGAGAGTAGGTGAAAATGGGTTGATTTCAGGACTCCATATCGAGTTCAACAATTTTAGAACCTGAATATCTGAAGCACTTCATGATATAAGAACTATAAGCAGGAGTACGCCATCTGGCCCTTCGAGCATTCTCCACCATCCAAAACGATAATGGCTGATCTTCTCATAGCCTTGGCTCCACTTACCCACCCTCTCGCCATTACCTTTAATTCCCTTACTGTTCAGAGAATTCTCTCTCTTAGCTATAAAAACGTTCAATGAGGAAGCCTCAATTACTTCACTGG